GGTGGCCGGAAGTCATGGGCACCCCCCCCCCCCCCCTTTCTCATCCAGGTTCCATACAACGTTGTAACCATCACACACAAAGCAATTCCACCCTGCAGTATCCCCTCTCCTATCGACAGGCCTAGCAGGTTCGAAAAGCTGATTTGCAATTCATTACCTTCACTGCAGTTAGCAGTAACAAACAAGGATTGTGTGTGCGTGACCCGATATTATGTAATGCTATCACAAAGGGACACTTTTGAGGACAGAAAGGCGGAAGCTGCCAGTTCTCACTTGATTTCAAAGGGTGGACTCCTTGGGGCATTGGACTTGCTCCTTGGTTCACTGCCAAGTAAGACATTGACCTAAACCAGTATGGTGGATGGACGTTCAGACTTTTAAGACTCTTCTGAATGCTTGCTGGTTCTAGTACAGTCAGTAGTGAAGCCAGAATGAAGATGACAGCTCCCTAATTTCTTCCCTCACAGCTTCCCTGTAACTTATTCTTTCTAAATTAAGTCCTACCACTCTACTCCATCTATAGACACCAGAGACTACAAAACCGTGGATGCAGGGGGACCGGCGGTCTACCTTAAAAATATTTTTGGGAGCGCCAGCGCATGCCATTATATTGCAAGTCAACAGCTGCTTTCTATAAAAAAGAGAGGCGGGTGAAAGCTCGGTTTCATGGTATCTGGATATCACGGGATCTTCACTTTGGGGTCCGCAGGGTACATAGGTTGCTGTAGCGAGCCCTCTGAAACAAACATGACATAGGTTGTGCGTGATGTACAAAACATAGTTTAGAAAAGCTTCACATTGATCCAGCCTGAAGCGATGCAATAAGCAGGCACCCCGTCCCTTAGCGGCCTTGGCACCGCGTTATCGGCAAAACCAAGTTTAAAGGGCGCCAGCCAAGCTTCGAAGAAGCAAAATCACGATGCACTGGCGACGACAAGATCCCTTGCGATGGGAAAAAGGTACCCATGTTTCCAACGTAGTCCAGTACTTTTTTTGTTTTTGTTTTTACTTTTTCTTTCGATAATCATCTTCGTCCCTGCACTCGACCGCCGACAGAGCGATCAGCATCTGCGCGGCGTAATACGTGGCCATGATGATGGCTCGAGAGCAAGGGACAGGGAAGCAAAACTTGTTGACGGCAATGGTCAGGTCAGACACGATGAACAGGATGGCGCCGATGCAGGCCGAGAGCTTGGTCCATGTCCAGAGATCATTGCAAAGTTGGACCCCGGCGACGGCACGCCAGCCCATGAAGGCTATTAGCGCCGTGTACACCGCCACCAAGTATACAAAGGGGCCAGTGAGGTAAAAGTACAAGAGAGTATATAAGATGCCTGATATGAAGGCAATCACTGCTCCGGTGCGGAGGTCCAGAGGCTTCATTCCGAAGGCGGAGGTATAAAGGATGTGGGTGATGGCAAACATCAGCAAGCCTGCAGGAAACAACAAACAACGGTAAGCTTAAAGTGGACCTGTTGGTAACTATACAAGTCTGCACGAATTCTATAGAAATGATGGCTATCCATTGGATGGAACAGTCCTCCCAAAATGTTATTTTGGTTGATATTCATTATTAAATCACTCGGTGGATTTTAATGTTTCCCAGACACCCTAATAGTGAGATCTCTATGTTGATTTCCTACAACCTCAGGGTCCTTGCTTTAGGTCTAGGAGAATTATGAAGACAGCAGCAGTTGGGATGCCCAAAATGTTTACAGTATACACCTCTACCATGAGTGACATATCCAGGCTGCCCTTGCTTATTCTGGTCAAACTGTCTAAAAGGGGATTTCCACTCACTTCGGAAAGATTAACTTTTAATGGCACCCCCAATGCATCAATACAACGAATACAATGCAATACAGTGCACCACAAGGCTTCTTATATGTACTTCTTTGGAAGAAAGGGGTCCAGTCTGTTTTTGTCTGCGTTGTGATGCATTGGAAGCCCATCCAAATGAATGGAATGCCTTGACCCAAGGTGATTTCCACTCACCTTGGAAAGATTAACTTTGAATGGCACCCCCAAGGCACTAATACAACTAATGCAATGCAATACAGTGCACCACAAGGCTTCGTATATGTACTTCTTTGGAAAAAATGGGTCCAGTTTGTTTTTGTCTGCGTTGTGATGCATTGGAAGCCCATCCAAATGAATGGAATGCCTTGACCCAAGGGGATTTCCACTCACCTTGGAAAGATTAACTTTGAATGGCACCCCCAAGGCACTAATACAACTAATGCAATGCAATACAGTGCACCACAAGGCTTCGTATATGTACTTCTTTGGAAAAAATGGGTCCAGTTTGTTTTTGTCTGCGTCGTGATGCATTGGAAGCCCATCCAAATGAATGGAATGCCTTGACCCAAGGGGATTTCCACTCACTTCGGAAAGATTAACTTTGAATGGCACCCCCAAGGCACTAATACAACTAATACAATGCAATGCAGTGCACCACAAGGCTTCTTATACAGTATGTACTTCTTTGGAAGAAAGGGGTCCAGTCTGTTTTTGTCTGCGTTGTGATGCATTGGAAGCCCATCCAAATGAATGGAATGCCTTAACCCAATGCAAGTCAACGCACGGCACAGTTACACACTGCAAGGCAGCACAAAGACGTGATTAAATCCTAGCTGTAGAGTGTACGCCAGACATTGAACAAGCTCATGAGCTAAGCTAAATTGTTGATCTCTTTCTGTAAATGGTTTTTATGTTGGCCCTGACTTCAATATTCTCTCTGTCACCGGCCCGGAACAAAATGCCGATCAGCCAAGTCACAGTGAATTCAGAAGTCCTAATCTGCATACTTGGTTCGGGTCAGTTGAAGCCGGATGCTTGGCATGAGAGCCAGGCATCAATAGGGGTCATCAATGGCAGCTCCCATGCCTTTTATATATAAGAGTTTCCTTTAAGTGATAGGCCAGTGACCCACCAGCCCACAATACCATTACTTACTTTGGAGTAGATGTTTGTAAAACACCCTCCTTCCCCCATTTACTATTAAGGACCAAAGCTTTGTATGGTCCTCCAGTTGGTTAATAAAAAAAAAAACCCAAAGCATAGAGAAGACAATTTGTCTTATGTCCTATTGCTTTCATTTACATCAACGAGCGGCATTGGAGTGTGCTAAAAGAAAGTAGGACATGTTGCATCTTTTCACAACGTGTTTTAATGTGCTTTAACGCTGCCACTAAAAAGGGATCTATTTATAAACTATGCGCAAAGCCCTTCACCCTGCACAGGTCAGTGAACGTTCATTTTGTGCAACTATATATGCCAAAATCAAAGTTCTTTAGTTGTTACCTTACAAGGCAATGTATATTTGAATGTTGTTATTGTATGTAATACCACATTATGGCCACTAGGTGGCGCTGAGGAACATAGAACATAATCATTTGTTTCCTGTGCTCCTTTAGCTTTATCTAGTGGCCATAATGTGGTATTACATGAAAACATTTGAACAGACATTGCACTTGTACAGAAAATGACTATAGAGCGTTGGTTTTGGCATATATCCGCACAGAATGAACATTCACAGATATTCTCAGGGCAAAATGGCCCTAAGAATAGGGTTAATAAATAGACCCTATAGAGGTAAGCAGAGTGTAAAGCTTAAAGGAGAACTATGAGGTGAGTGGAAATCACTCATAGTTCGAGCCGACGTGTGACAATGAAACTGTCACACGTTGGCTCTATAGATCGGGAAGTGAGCGAACACATACCGTCGCTCGCTCACTTCTCAATCATCACCCTGAAGGGATCCCCGCCCCCCCGTCCCCCGATCCTCCGGCGCTGACTTGAAGAATGGATGGGGGATGGGGTGGGTACAGCTGGCTCTGCCTGTAGATAGGCAGAGCCAGCTGTCACTCACGCAGCTGGGCGGATCCAGGGCTGGATTTACTCTCTCTGCTTCCCCAAGGACAGGTTACTCACTGCATCCCCCTCCCCGTCAAACCATGGAGAATGACAGACCTGCAGGCTGCATACAAGTGATCTTGGCGACATCGCCGGGATCACTTGTACAAAACAAGCGACAGCTTCCCGGCTGTAAATTTAGCTCTGCTTGCCCAAACCAGGGCTACATGTAGAAAACAACTACCGGCCCGGCGCCCGGAACTGCATGTCCCGGGCTTTGGGAGATAGGAATTCCACACCCCTGCTGCCCCTCTACTCCTTGCTGCTCCAAGACCAGGCCTTGGTTAGCCTTGTTGGAAATCCGGCCCTGGGTGGATCTCGACAGTAATGTCGGGATCCATCCCGGCTGCGGCGGTCTCAGTATACTGCGAGCTGTACTCGGGTACAGCTGGCTCTGCCTCTAGATAGGCAGAGCCAGCTGTCACTCACGCAGCTGGCTCTAAGTCTAAGTCTGGATCCGCTCCGGCTGCGGCGTCTCAGTATATAGGGAGCTGTAGCTCGCGGTATACTGAGCTTAGGGTAACGGGAGGACGCTAGTTTGTGTCCTCCCGTTACCCTAAGGAGAACTATGGGGAAAAACACTGACCCCATAGTTCTCTTTTAAGAAAAAGTATGCATGTTACAACACAGTGCACGGGCACAAGGCACACCAGCAGGCGCATGTTAAGTGCGGGTGTTATGCCCCCGCTGGTGTGAATGAGCCCCTTGCCTGGAGTTTGGCTTTTAGTGAACTGATCCTTTAATTCAAAGCTTAAAAAGAGAGATAATAAATATTTAACAGATGAATTCCCGAGCCCGGCACACTGGCTTCATTGTATACAGCAGGTCCATTTTTCTTTTATCCGAGTATTGTGCTGGCCTCATGGATAGAAGCCACAGTGCCAACGATGTGTGGAATGTTGGGACGTATACAATGTGACCGGAGGGGTTACAAACTCTCTCTATGTATCATTCACAGAGCGCTGGAGGATGCCAATGATTACAGCTGCAAGCTACAGTTGCCGGCTCTCAGCATCCTCTAACTCCCCTATAAAAAAAAAAAACGTGGGAAAGCCGCGAGTGTCTGAGGTGGTGAATGAAGTCTTTGTGGGTGACAGACTAAGGGGCTCATGTACAATGCAAATCCTCCATCGCTGTACAGAGATGCTGCGAGCGCGGAAGGACAAGCACCCAATTTATACTGTCTAGAGCTAGGAGTCTAAATTTATCCCCGGGGCCTACTGAGATTTAAAGGGTCAGTGCACCCAAAACCCTCATTTCAGTGTTTGGAGGATGCTGGAGAGTTAAACCACCCGACAGTTTTTTCTATGGGAGTTATTCTCAAAGCTGCCGAAGGCAACCGAGTGAATAGCCCAGCCGAAGTGAAGTGAGCTGAACAACGTTCGGGTATTCACTACGGCCCGTACATCGGCTGAAATCAGCCGTACATCAGCTGCCTTCTGCTGCACTCCGGTCACACCAACATGCTCTGCAGAAGGACTTTGACTCAGCCGATCCAACATCTGGATCGGCTGAGCCAAAGCTCCGGCAGCTCATTCACATAGGGGCCGAACGGCAAGTGAGTGATAAAACGAATGCCGCCGAGGGGCATTCGGCTCGGCTATTCTGCTCGGTACCTCCGCGTTACCGAGCAGAATAGCAAATAGTGAAGAAAGTAGAAAAAAAGTTGAAAAAATATTTTTAAAAATGTAAATAAATATAAAATTTTAAAAAAGAAACATTTTGAAAAAAAGAAAAAAAAAAACAATTGGGCGGTTCTGCCGGCGTCCATCCCCAGGATGGCCGCCGCCACGTATCAATAAGATCGCCGCGCATGCGCGATGATGTCATTGCACGGCGGGGTGTCACCCGGTAACCGCCCCGGGTGACACCCGGTCTCGGGACCTTTTAAAACCGCTACCACATATGTATATCATTTTGGTGTCGCCCCCTCTGAAAATTCGGGCACATCAGTCATGGACTGCGAGCCCGACAGTTTCTGGAGAGAGGAGGGGACCCGGCGTCATACCTTATCCCGCCGGGCGACTGTCCCCTCCTCTCTCTGCCTGCATCCATCACCAAGATGGCTGCCGACACATATCAATAAGATTGGCGCGCATGCGCGATGACGTCATCGCACGACGAGGACGTCCCTGACTTGACCTATTGAAACCACTACCGCCTATGTGTTCCAGCCTTAAAATGTACCCGTTGGCTAATCATAATCCAGTCACCAGGCTGGGGGGCGTGTTCTAGACCAAGCACTGCTGCTGTAGCTGCAGTGGAGGTCAGCTGGACCTAGCTGCAAGGTCAAAAACTGGCTGCACCTATTGAAACCGCTACCACTTATGCATGTCGGCCTGGAGTTTAGTCAAAGGTGAACTGGGGTTTTAAATAATCCCCCTGCCATTGTTGTGCTGCCAAGCAGGAGGTCATTATTGTGCCCGCCGCGGAGCGAAGAATAATCCCGAGTCTTAGTTTACTCCGGCGGAGGAGGACGCTGATTCAGAAAGCCGCCTCACAATGGCACCTCGCCACCCTTCACTTACCATGGACAAAGTAACCCTGTTCCTGCCAGATCAGGAAGGCATCGCCCACCGCCGAGAAGATCAACCCGGCCAGGATCCTCTTGGCGCTCTGGTGGCTGACGAGGAAATTGACCCCGTGGGCCAGGAGGAACACCCAGAGGCAGAAGATGGGGAGACACTTGATCAGGGCGCTGAACCAGGACGGGCTGGACGTTGGCAACCACAGCACAAAATACACGCAGGTGGCCTTGAAGAACGGCACCAGCTTGGGGCCCTCACATTTCACCTGCGCCAAAAGAGAAACAGAAAAATGATCGCACGGTGTGACACAAATATGACAAGCAAGGAAATGAATTATGTTTCTTATCATTTTCCTTTATTTAAATAATAACATTAATAACAATATCATTCTCATTTCTTTTTATTCAGAAACATTTTAATATTATTATTATTATTATACAGGATTTATATGGCGCCAACAGTTTGCGCAGCGCTTTACAATATAAGGAAGACATTACAATCACAATACAAATCAAGACAAGATGGTAAGGAGGACCCTGCAACATCTCAACTTGCTTCAAAGTTACAATGTTGTAGTCTGATCACTGGGGGAGGGGAGACTGAGGAAATGCTTCCTCTTGCCTGCAGCAGACTGATCACTGGGGGAGGGGAGACTGAGGAAATGCTTCCTCTTGCCTGCAGCAGACTGATCACTGGGGGAGGGGAGACTGAGGAAATGCTTCCTCTTGCCTGCAGCAGACTGATCACTGGGGAGGGAAGACTGAGGAAATCCTTCCTCCTGCTTGCAGCAGACTGATCACTAGGGGAGAGGAGACTGAGGAAATGGTTCCTCCTGCCTGCAGCAGACTGATCACTGGGGGAGGGGAGACTGAGGAAATGCTTCCTCTTGCCGGCAGCAGACTGATCACGGGGGGAGGGGAGACTGAGGAAATGCTTCCTCTTGCCGGCAGCAGACTGATCACGGGGGGAGGGGAGACTGAGGAAATGCTTCCTCTTGCCGGCAGCAGACTGATCACGGGGGGAGGGGAGACTGAGGAAATGCTTCCTCTTGCCGGCAGCAGACTGATCACGGGGGGAGGGGAGACTGAGGAAATGCTTCCTCTTGCCGGCAGCAGACTGATCACGGGGGGAGGGGAGACTGAGGAAATGCTTCCTCTTGCCGGCAGCAGACTGATCACGGGGGGAGGGGAGACTGAGGAAATCCTTCCTCCTGCTTGCAGCAGACTGATCACTAGGGGAGAGGAGACTGAGGAAATGGTTCCTCCTGCCTGTAGCAGACTGATGACATAATCTCAGCCTAGGCAAAGTCACTGGACTGAAACACAAGGACAGCTTTTAAAGTTGAATTTTTCACAAATAGACTGTTGCTGAATATTGTAGCCGGCCAGGAAATGTATTTATACAAAGTTACCGAAATATCCACTTTAGGCCTATCCATAAAAACCAAGACAGCACAGAAATACCGACGCGTTTCACCGCCACACATTTATCCTCTCCCCTGGCTTTTTGCAAGCGGCGTCTATTTGTACTTACAATTAATTCCTACCATGTGATTAATAATTGAGCGCAGTCACAGCTGTCAGGATGCATTTTGCTGGAGTTCAGAGCGAATCACTAATTGAATTGAATTCCGTTCTCGGAAAGACTTGTTCCAGCAGGCCCCACAAAGTTCTGAGCCAAACCAATATCTGTAAATCCCGAGATGAAAGAGGAAAATAATGGATTAATCCGATTCCCACCTCGCAATGCTGGAAATCATTGTAACCCTTTGAAGCTCATTCCAAAGGAAGTGCAAAGGGCAACCGTGGCATGTAAAGTGTATTCAACCGAACAGCCAATCAGAAAGCTCCATACAAGCCAAGCCAAAAGAAATCCATACAGGAGGTGGAAGAGCTTACAATCTATTAGGGTATAAGGGAGGATACAGAAGGGAGAAGAGCTTACACTCTATTAGGGTATAAGGGAGGATACAGAAGGGAGAAGAGCTTACACTCTATTAGGGTATAAGGGAGGATACAGAAGGGAGAAGAGCTTACACTCTATTAGGGTATAAGGGAGGATACAGAAGGGAGAAGAGCTTACACTCTATTAGGGTATAAGGGAGGATACAGAAGGGAGAAGAGCTTACACTCTATTAGGGTATAAGGGAGGATACAGAAGGGAGAAGAGCTTACACTCTATTAGGGTATAAGGGAGGATACAGAAGGGAGAAGAGCTTACACTCTATTAGGGTATAAGGGAGGATACAGAAGGGAGAAGAGCTTACACTCTATTAGGGTATAAGGGAGGATACAGAAGGGAGAAGAGCTTACACTCTATTAGGGTATAAGGGAGGATACAGAAGGGAGAAGAGCTTACACTCTATTAGGGTATAAGGGAGGATACAGAAGGGAGAAGAGCTTACACTCTATTAGGGTATAAGGGAGGATACAGAAGGGAGAAGAGCTTACACTCTATTAGGGTATAAGGGAGGATACAGAAGGGAGAAGAGCTTACACTCTATTAGGGTATAAGGGAGGATACAGAAGGGAGAAGAGCTTACACTCTATTAGGGTATAAGGGAGGATACAGAAGGGAGAAGAGCTTACACTCTATTAGGGTATAAGGGAGGATACAGAAGGGAGAAGAGCTTACACTCTATTAGGGTATAAGGGAGGATACAGAAGGGAGAAGAGCTTACACTCTATTAGGGTATAAGGGAGGATACAGAAGGGAGAAGAGCTTACACTCTATTAGGGTATAAGGGAGGATACAGAAGGGAGAAGAGCTTACACTCTATTAGGGTATAAGGGAGGATACAGAAGGGAGAAGAGCTTACACTCTATTAGGGTATAAGGGAGGATACAGAAGGGAGAAGAGCTTACACTCTATTAGGGTATAAGGGAGGATACAGAAGGGAGAAGAGCTTACACTCTATTAGGGTATAAGGGAGGATACAGAAGGGAGAAGAGCTTACACTCTATTAGGGTATAAGGGAGGATACAGAAGGGAGAAGAGCTTACACTCTATTAGGGTATAAGGGAGGATACAGAAGGGAGAAGAGCTTACACTCTATTAGGGTATAAGGGAGGATACAGAAGGGAGAAGAGCTTACACTCTATTAGGGTATAAGGGAGGATACAGAAGGGAGAAGAGCTTACACTCTATTAGGGTATAAGGGAGGATACAGAAGGGAGAAGAGCTTACACTCTATTAGGGTATAAGGGAGGATACAGAAGGGAGAAGAGCTTACACTCTATTAGGGTATAAGGGAGGATACAGAAGGGAGAAGAGCTTACACTCTATTAGGGTATAAGGGAGGATACAGAAGGGAGAAGAGCTTACACTCTATTAGGGTATAAGGGAGGATACAGAAGGGAGAAGAGCTTACACTCTATTAGGGTATAAGGGAGGATACAGAAGGGAGAAGAGCTTACACTCTATTAGGGTATAAGGGAGGATACAGAAGGGAGAAGAGCTTACACTCTATTAGGGTATAAGGGAGGATACAGAAGGGAGAAGAGCTTACACTCTATTAGGGTATAAGGGAGGATACAGAAGGGAGAAGAGCTTACACTCTATTAGGGTATAAGGGAGGATACAGAAGGGAGAAGAGCTTACACTCTATTAGGGTATAAGGGAGGATACAGAAGGGAGAAGAGCTTACACTCTATTAGGGTATAAGGGAGGATACAGAAGGGAGAAGAGCTTACACTCTATTAGGGTATAAGGGAGGATACAGAAGGGAGAAGAGCTTACACTCTATTAGGGTATAAGGGAGGATACAGAAGGGAGAAGAGCTTACACTCTATTAGGGTATAAGGGAGGATACAGAAGGGAGAAGAGCTTACACTCTATTAGGGTATAAGGGAGGATACAGAAGGGAGAAGAGCTTACACTCTATTAGGGTATAAGGGAGGATACAGAAGGGAGAAGAGCTTACACTCTATTAGGGTATAAGGGAGGATACAGAAGGGAGAAGAGCTTACAATCTATTAGGGTATAAGGGAGGATACAGAAGGTTGAAGACCTTACAATCTATTAGGATATAAGGGGGGATACAGAAAGGGGAGGAGCTTACAATCTATTAGGGCATAAGGGAGGATACAGAAGGTAGAAGAGCTTACAATCTATGAGGCTGCTACATGATAAGAGTTATAGGGGTGCATACATCTAGACAGCTGCGGGAAACTTCTCTAAACTTTTCCAATCTTTCAGTTGAACAAACATCAACCCTCGTCCGAGTGACTTTTCTATTTTTAGGTCCTCTGCCGGGTTTAATGACCCTTTTATTTATTATTTTGGCATTCTGTGCTCCTGGAATTCTGATACTTAACATTCCATCTCCTCTAATCTCCCCGACACTTTCACACTCTCTTCACATATTAGTTTTCCGAGCATTTAATACCATGCCAGCTATGGTACCGAACAATCTGCCTAAATATAGTAAAGTCGGCATTCTACACTTTATTGTCGGACCAGGAAAAGAGCTACGAGGTTCAAGAAAGGTTTAAGGAGTAAAAAGTCTAAAGACGCCAAAGCCAAGTCATCTCTCTGGTGAACGCTGGTCAGTTTTTCACACTTGGCCATATAAAAGGACACCAAGCAAATCACAACCCTTTGTAGAAGAATTCTTACTGCCTACATGACTATAATGGCCAGATACATAGGTTTAAATTTCAGCTCCTGCTTGTGTACTTGTGGCTCCTCCTGGGTTCTTTTGTAGTGAAGACGGCTTGAACTGTTCCTGGGTGTCCTTGTCCAGTGCCTGGTTTACTGCCACCACTACCAGTTGAGCCTGTACCCATTACACGGTCCAAAGACCGACATACAATAACTCAGCTCTCTCAGTTCTCTCTCTACTAGGGTTGCCACCTGTCAAGGATTCACCCGGACAGTCCGGGTTTTGAATGCTGTGTCCAGGTTTCATGGCAGCTGAAACCCGGACACAAGATGTCAGGCAGATAGGGGCAACCAAAATTAAGATAGGGGCTACTGGCCCCCTACTGAAAATAGTCTCGACTGTGATATTTACATATGAATGGGTGGTGCTATTTACATATGAATAAGCCGCGACTCATTCTCCCAAAAACATTTCCGTGCGTCGCTAGAGTGTTCGGGTGTCGCTGGAAGAAAAGGTGGCAACCCTACTCTCTACTCCTCCATGGTCTATGACATACTCGGGTCAAGCTGGCCACCTTTGTCCCTGCAGAAAAAAAAGCAAACAAGAAGAGGGGATTGTTTTGGGGACGATAGCGTGGAACCTTATAGGAACTGCCATGCCGG